AGGGCTTGAGTTCCGCACAGCCCGCGCCTGCCTCGTGCCGTGGCTGCCCCGTGCCGTGGCTGCCCCGTGTGGCCGTGCTGAGCGCAGCGTGGCTGGGGTTCCTGTTTCAGTGTTTGGTTCTGTGGTCACCTCTGCAGTGTGCTCTCTTGTCTTCACTTGATGAAAGGATTTACTCTGGGTCTAGACACCTCACCTGAGGGGGACAGGTAGCTGTTTTCTCTGTATGCTCGGCCACTGCCTCGGCTGGGCCTGCGCGGCTGTCCCCCATCGTTGTCTTTCTCTCTGGGCGACACGGCAGCCTGTTCACCGCGGCATGGAGAGATCTGGTGGTGATGTTGTTTGGTGCTTGGCTTTGCTGAGCGCCAGACCTGTGGGGAGAGAGGGTCTCTGCGGGTTTGGGGAGTTTCCTGCCGCCAGTTCCCTCTGCCATCCTGTGGGCCTTCCACCTCCCCGCTCGGCGATGGGCTTGGCGTGTGTCCCTGATGCTCTGCGGGCCTTTTCTGTGGCGACATCTGAAGTCCCAGGGTGGCCCAGACTGCTTAGCTCCTGAGTGCTGCCCTGAAGGTCTGTGGTCTGGCCCCTCAAAGGAGCCTTGCTGACAGGTGTTTTGAAAAGCCCTGTGTGTCACCTGGGGGTGCTCTCGCCAGCCTCCCTCACCCCCACCGCCAGTCGGCTGTCACCGTGCCCGGGGCTTCTGCAGCTCTAAACGTAGGTCCCCTCAGAGCCCCGCTTCGACCTGGTTGACACCTCTGTGCCTCTGCCTGGCTTTGGAACACAGAGTGCGATTGTGACCACTTTCACTTAATGGAGAGTCGTCTCCACTGTGTTCTCATGCTTGACACGTGTCAGCGTTTCTAACAGTGCCCTGAGTGCTGCTGTCTTAGTCTTCCTGGTGGGAGAAATAGGCATGTGTCCCTGGGCCATGGTCCCTCCTGGGCCGCTCACCTATGTCCCTTTACTTTTCAGTGCAAATGGTCCCGGAAGGGCTTTATCCGGACGAGGTGGTGCCTTGCCGACTGGTATGTGCAGGGAGCTGGATGCTTTGACCTCAGGGCAGGTGGTGGCTCCCCACAAAGATACCATCTGCCTGGCTCACTGCTCGGGGCCTGGGACGGGCCATATGTGTCCTGTGAGGCTCAGGTTGTGTGGTTGAGTCAGGTCTTGAGCCCGAGATTGGGGGCGGGTGGGGGTGGAAGGTTTCCATCCAGCAAAGATGCCAGGCCAGGCTCCGTCAGCTGTAAGAAGCTGCTGGTCGGTAGCAGGAGGTTGGCTCTGGCTCCCTGGCCGAGTGCTGCCCTGTGGACACCCCATGCTGCTGGCAGGTGAGGGGCTCACAGGGGCCCACCGTCTTCTGGGGCCCCTTCTAGGTGAGAGCAGCCTAAAGCTGTGGGCAGGACTTGCTGCCAGGGGTGATAGGGCTGCACCGGGGGAGGAGTCAGCACCCACCCCCATCCCCAGGCTGCCAGTTCAGTCCATCCGACAGAGGGAGGTAGCCCACCCGGGTGGGGCGGGGCCATGCCTGGCGGGACTCTGTTGCGTCCCGACGGGCCTGCCACAGAGCAGTGGGGTCAGTCAGCCACCACCCCATTCAACGTCTTTCTCTCTGCACAGCACCTTCGACCTCGTGAACATCCATCTCTTCCACGATGCGTCCAACCTTGTGGCCTGGGAGACGAGCCCGTCCGTGTACTCGGGGATCCGGCACAAGGCTCTTGGCTACGTGCTAGACAGGTAGGGAGCGCCCCGCAGGTCCCAGCCGCTCTGTTCAGCGGGCTTCTCAGGCAGAGAGACCGGACCCCGCCTTGGACCACTTTGGAAAGATGCTCGTGAAGTGATAAGAAAATGCACCCCGTGCCGTCACAGGGAGAATGGGGTTGGTGGGAGAGGAGGGCTTTCGCACACAGTCCACTGCCAGAGGCTGCAAAGGGACACCACACATAGGTGCCTGTGTGCCGTTCCCACCACCCGAGCTTCCTGAGACTGGGGGACAAGTTGCCGTGGGGGCATGGTGTGTGGCCGTGCCCTGAGGGCGGGCTCAGCTACCTTCCCGCTTTCCTGTGAGCCTGCACCCAGAGCCTCAGAAGGTGTGTTCTTGTCCCCAGGGGCTCAGGATGGGGAGAGTTCTGTATGTGTGTGCTCTGCATGTGACTGTGTGTGTACATGTTGGCATGGGTGTGCTGTGTCTGTGTGTGCCTGCCTGGGTTCATGAATGCACGTGTGCTGTGTGCCTATGCATATGAGCATCTACATGCTATGTGCACAAATGTGTTGTGTGCTAGTATGTGCATGTTTGGGAGGGTTGCTGTGTGTGTGCAATGTGTATGCATATACATGTGTGAGCAATGTGTGTGCACGTATATACCTATGTGCATGTGTATGCCACTGTATGTACATAAGTGTGTTATGTGCACATTGTGTGGTTTCTGTGTGTGTGTTGTGTGCATGTACACATGTGGATATTGTCTGTGTGTGTGTGTGCAGTATGGGTGTGTGCCTGGTTGTATATATGCACTTGTGTGGTGTGTGCCTGTGCATTCATATGTATGTGGTCTGTGTGCTTGTGTGTGCTTGTGTACTGTTGTATATGTGTACACGTGTAAACGTGTCATGTACATATTGTCTTGTGTGCACATGTGTGATGTGGGCCTATGCTTATGAGGATGCATGTACTATGCATGCATCTGTGTTGCTTGTGTGTGCATATATATGCATGCATATATGTGGATGTGCCTGTGTTCCATGTGTGTCTGTGTATGTGCTGTGTGTACATGTATGTGCCCGTGTGTCCACACAGTTGTTTTATGCAGGTGTGTGCATGCAGTTTCTGTTGTATATATCCCGCGTGTGTGTTGTGTGCATGTGTGTGCACATGTAGGTATGTGTACACAGGTGTTGGTCCTGAGATGCCCACCAGTGACCATGTGTGGCTAGCTCATCCATGTGCTGCCCATCTGTCCCCTTTCTCTGGGGCCCTTGTGTGGGTGCTATGGGCAGAGCACCCAGAGGGGCCCTACTGTGCAGCGCCTGCCAGGCCGAGAGCCCAGGACCTCCCACAGGGCTGGAGGCTCGCGTGCGCATAGCCTTGGGAGCTGCGGTGGATCAGCGTGTCAGGGAGGGGCTGGGGTGGGGCTGGTGGAGGGTTTGGTTCCCATGGGCAGCTCTGGGTGAGCGCAACCAGCCGCAGCTCCGGCCTCCACTGCGCAGAGCGGCTGCCACAAAGGCTCATTCTGTGGGAGCGGTGAATGGTGGGATGCCCTTTCATCGGCTGCTAACCTTTGGCGGCCACCAGCAGACTCCATTCTGCCCTGCTGGTGGGGGACAAAGACTCGCTGCCCTTTGACGGAGGGCTGCCACCAAGAGAGCCCCTTTCAGGCTTTGGGAACCGCCAGGAGCATTGTCTGCGGGCTTCCAGAGCTGTGGCCGGCGCTCACTGCTGCAGGGCCCAGGCCCGCTCCCTGAGACCCGACCCAGCCCACCACCGCCTGGCAGTAGTCTGAGCTGTGAGTGGCAGAGAATTCCAGAATAAAGGGTTAAGTAGGAAACCCTGAGGGGCAGCGTCCCATTATCCCAAGTTTAAACGCTTCAGAAGCGTGTCACGCCTGCAGTACCAGGTTGGGGGCAGAGCCCAGAGGAGCAGGACAAAGTGTCCATGGCCCCTGGTACCCATGGTTACTCACACCACAGACCCCCATTGCCCATGGATGCCACCCATAGAGCCCAGGACTCATGGCCACTCATGCCAGTTACATCACGGGACCCTCTGCCCACACGGCACACTGTGGGGCCCAGCACTGGTGGTCACTCATAACACAGACCCCCTGGAGCCTTCAGACACCACACCACAGCAGGCGCCCCCAGTGCGCCCTCATGCCCACCACCCTTGGGAGCCAGCATGTGGATGCCCTCATGTTCCTGCTAGAGTGCCCCCACTGTCCCCCACCTCCAGCTAAGAAATGTGGCGGTGTTTCCTCTAAATTCAAAGCCACAATCTTTACACATCCAGAGCTTTTGACTTGTTTTGTTTTTGTTCTTTGTTTATAAAGGCTGAAACAGACAGCTCAGTTAGCACGTAGGCTCAGAGGTGTGTCGGGGCACCATGCCCCCCCACACACAGTGACTCTCCTGAGGCTCTGGGGGCTGGGCAGTGGGGCAGGTGAGATGGTATCACCTGTCCTGGAGGCTTAGCTGTTGGGTGGGGTGGGAGGGTAGGGGCTGATCAGACAGGCCTCGTCTCCTGCTGCTCCGGACGCTTCCTGAGCGGCCAGCCATTCAGGGGCCTCAAAATGGACTTCCCCTCCCCCTTTGAAATAGGCCTCACCCAACACCTTTAGTTACAACTCTGAAATCTGGGCAGAAAGCCCTCCTTTGTCCCCCATTATCCTCTCACAAACCGAGTCCATTGTCACTACGCCGAAGTTAATTTGATCAACATTGGGACATTTAACTTTTATGTCTGGTCAAAAGAGTTGTTTCACGCTCATTCTGGGCATTCAAAAGCAGTGATCGCCAGAGAAATAACGTCGCCTTGCACAATTCCGGGCAATTAGTTTCCCAGGGGCAGCGCCGCGATGCGCGGGCGCCACACAGCCTGCTTTGTCACTGCGGATGGTCATCCGTCAGCTGTCAGCTGCTCAAAAGCCCACGTTTCTAGGCAAAGCGAGCTTCACGCTAACGATCCAGGTCACCGGGCAGCCCCGGCCCGGAATGCTCCTCCTCTGGCCTCCTCCTGCCTGGAGCCACACGGACAGCCGCCGCTGCCGGAGCTCCGTGCCAGCGGATGAAGCTACACAGCCACGTCCAGAAGTGGGTGTGAAGCCCTGACCTGGTCTTGGTTCTGGTCAGGAGACACCTGGGAAAGCCCTGCCCAGCCAGCCACTGCGCGCCCCTCGGTGCAAGCACTTGCAGCTCCTGTTGGTCTCAGAGAGCAGACCCGCCCCTCCTGGATGGACACTAAACAGAGCCGCTGTTTATACCTAGTCCTGCATGCAGCAAGCTCTCGTCTGAAGGCGCTCAGCTTTCTGCCACCTCAGCTCTCTTTTCTCCGCCAGCCGTGGGAGTGACGAGCAGCCGAAGGAGGGGCCTGTTTCTCTGCCATCGGGGCGCACAGATCTGCTTCACGTTCCAGGGCTGTGTTTCAAAGACAAAGCTCCTGTGGGAACAAAGCACTAGACCATGGCAGCGGTCACCCAGGGGACGCCGTGGTGACTTCTGGGCTCCTCGGGACATCCCAGGGCACATCGCAGGGGACACAACAGGAGAGGCCACAGATGACACCTCAGGGAGCCCTGGGACAACTTCAGGGTACATCTCAAGGGATGCTGTCTCCAGGCTCCTTGGGGCCACTTGGGACTCTTTGGGGGACAGACACCATAGGGGACACCTGGAGGCTCCTCAGGAGACACATCAGGGACACAAGGACAACTTGGGCCCCTCTGGAAACTCCCAGTCATTCTGGATGGTCCAGAAGAGCTAGACTTCAAAAGGAAGGAGGGAGGACAAAGGCACCTTAGTAGTGAGGAAAACCCCATGTGGTACTTGGTGCACAGGACACCCTCACTCAGCCTTGCCTGGGGCCACGGGCACAGGCCACCCTCCACCTCCTCAGCCCTTCCTGCGTGGGCCCCTGGGGTGGGGACCCAGGACACCTCCCCCTCATCCTTGTACGGGGCCCTCTAGGTAGGAGGGTCCTTTCAGAGAAATGAACTGGGGCCACGGAGCAGTGAAGGCTGAGAGGTCAGGATTTGTAGTTAATACCTGAGTTACCACGACGCCAGGCTCACTTCCCGGAGGGCCTTCTCCAGGCATCCACGCCAGGGTCTGAGCGTCTCCCCAGGGCAGCGATTAGGCTTCTTGCTGCCTCGGCCTGGGGCTTACACAGCGGAGGCTTGTGGACACAGCTGCATCTCGAGGGTGGGAAATCCAACCCCCACTTTGGAGTTCGAGGACAGGGGCCAGTTTGCTGGCAGCCTGGTGCCCCTGACACTGACGGGGGGACTGTCCTATGTGTGGGCAGCAGCATGGGCTGGTCGTTGAGGCTCCTGCTTGGTGGGTGCTGGATAGAACCTTATGTGCAGCCAGGCTTTGCAAGGGAACCATGGGCACTCAGCTGGCCCCAATGCCACCACAGCTCAGACCCCAGCTCATGTGACCCAGCATTGAGCATCACGTCCACTGGTTCAGGACAGACGAGAAGCTGGAATTGTGGCTGTCTCTGGGCGATGTCAGCACAACCGCTGTCCCTCAGACTTTGGGGACCAGGCCTGTGCCTGTCACCGCTGCTGGATGGCGAGACTGACATCCCTGCCGTGTCATATGAAGGCTCACTGGGCCCCAGGCCCCGGCAGCACCACGCCGTGGCTGCAGGCAGGCACTCCACCATCGGCCTAGGACGCTGTCTCCGCGGCGCGTGCCACTCTGTGAACAGGCCGGGTGTGCTGGGACTGGAGCTGCTGACAAGGCTGTGCACGTGGGAGCAGCCCTCGCTGCTGTCCGGTCCGAGTGGCACATTGCTGGAATTAAAATGCAGGTGCACGCACTCCGATCAGACAGCCCTCCATCTCGGCCCTGAGTGGCCTCCGCACCTCACACTGCTGCTGTCGATCAGCCGGCTGGTATAGGGAGCCGGGCAGGCATGGGTGGTCACGGCAGGCCTTCAGTGGCGGTGCTGCCAGATTCACAACCCCTCCCGTGAGGCTGTTGTGGGCATGAACCATGCTGGTGGGCTCTGTGGGAGGTGGATGGGCACAAGGCTACACCAAAAGCAGCCTCACACATAGCTGCTTCTCCTCTGTGAAAGCCAGGCGTGGGGAGCATCACAAGGTGAAGAATTTGCTGTGGATTACCTCTGTTGTTGAACTAGACCGTCCCTTCTCTTGCTCACTGGCACGTAGGCCAATCCCTCTGTTCTTCGCACCTCTCATTTTCTGCACCTCCCAGCTCACTTTCTGTAACCGCTCCCCACCTCCTGCTGTGCAGCCCCTGGGCCCTGGAGGGTCTTAGCAGGGTGGGGCTTCTCTCCATCCTGTTCTCAAGAGACGAGCAAAATGCCTTGAGCTCAGGCTTCATGCCCACAAAGGTTCAGGAGACACTGGGAGTTGGCAACCCCACCTGAGCCTTCTGGGTGCCTGCCTTCAGATGGCTGCCGTTGCTCCATCGTGGGCGTGGTCAGTTGGTGCCACCTGGGTTGTGACCTGAGACTGGCCAGTGTCAGGAGCGGTCTGTCGATGGCTTCCTTGGCGCTGACTATCCGAGGTGGCAGCACTGCTCTTGTGCATGTTCTCCCAGGGCCCCCCTCCCCAGGAGCGCCCCATGTTGGTTCTTACCGCACTAGACTGTGCCCTGCCGGCTTCCTTAGGTCAAGCCTAGTGTCTGTGGGACCCGCCTAGTTCAGCTCTCAAGAGAGGGTCCTGACCAACTGCCCC